TAAAAGCACGCTTGAAAGGAAATTAAAAACACAATTGCAGACCTTGAGCAAGCAACAAAAGCTGGAGTGCGACACATCACAGCTCAGAGGAAATCTTTATTCCCTCCAATGCCTGTTCTTTATTCTTGAAGAGCAGAGTCCGTTAAGAGAGGAAAAATAAATTAGCAAAGTGTTCGACTGAAATTCACAGGCAACCACCAACAAGCCCACAGAAAAGAAGAAGACTGAAACACAGAATTGATACGTAAATCCCAGAGCTCATTCTTTGCAGAAAAATAAACCGTAGCAGAACAGATGAACCCCTGGAAAACAAGAGGAAGGAAAGGAGACAGCAAAAACAAATAAAATTAGAAACAAAGGAGTGGATCTGACAACAGATGCGGGGCTGGTGGCAAAGTGGCAGATGAGGGGCCTGAGGCTGGCGTGCCACATCTGGGAACTCACACAGCTGCCTTTTGCCTTTCTGCTGCATGGTCTTCAATTACAGTACAACAGAAGAGCTGGGAGGGCTCATCCCCTACCGGATGGGGAAACTGAGTCTCAGAGATGGCAGGGAACTCACCCAAGACCCCACAGGGACAGAAATCCAAATTTCTAGAATTTGATCCATTTACGGTCAAGACGGCATCACAGATGTCTTGGCCCTGAATTGTTTAGGGGTGACTTTTGGCTGCAAAATCCAAAGAGGGCTTTTATCTGCAAAAGAGGACTTTAATCTGCCAAATCTGAAGAGGGCTTTTATTCAGCAAAAGTTCCCTCCTATAATTCCATCAATTTCACAACTCTCCTAGGAGGAGGGATGAGGGATGCTGCAATTAGCCCTCACTAATGGAATTGTAATGGCTGAGAAGGCTGGAGTACAGAGAGGTGAAGTGATTCACTTGAAGTCACAAAGCATCCATCCACTTAGGACAGCCAAGGTCAAAACGACCCGTCTACCTTCTAGGCCTCTGCCAAACCCCTGTACCAGGAGGCAGAATGGGATGTGCATGTGCTTAGGCCCTGGCATCCCAGAGACCTGGACCCGAACTCAAGCACCGTCACGTACGGGCTGTGTGTCCTTTCACACATTGCTTGACTACTCTGATTCCAGGAACAACACTCCGCCCAGAACCGGTGGGAGAATTGAAGGATGATGACGTGTACGTGTGGGGATATTTTGGACTCAGTCCTTTTGTCCTCCCTGCACTCTGCTCTTTCCAGGGAGCAGATGGGACCGGCACCAGTCCAGGAAGAGGTGGTACCAGTGGGAGAGAGTCCTGCCCATTTGGGCCTGAAGAACCATGAGAAGGGAACAAGGGTAAGGCAAAAGCAGAGGGGCTTTGCCCAGTCTTCTCTGCCCTGGGCGGAGACCTACGTGGAGGGCCACACATCACAGCTGCAGCAGGCCAGGGATATAGAGATCACTCAGACAGCGCTCCTGGTCCACATGCAGGAGGCTGAGAAGTAAGGGCTCACACAGGTAGCCTGGGGAGTGGGAAAAATAGGACACTATGTGGAGGGACCTCACAACGAGAGGCAACAGGCCAGGATCTGGGACTCCAGCAGGAAGCCAGAAACGAGGTTCCAAAGCTGGCGGGGGTGGGTAGGGGAACCCGTCCAGCCTCAGTGGGCACAGGTTCAGGAACCAGGCAGGATCAGCTGCTGTGCAGCAGTCAAGCCCAGAAGGCATACCACATACAGGAGGGTCCCCTTCTCACCACCAGGAGGTCACGAAACTGCCTAAGAAAGTCTGGGTGCATCACAGAAAAGAAAAAGGCTATTCGTAGGTATCAGTGTGTGACTCCAGGACACCTGGAAAGTGATCAGCACAGAACCGGGCATCCAGTTAAGAGTCAATAAGTGGTAGCTATTGCTCTGGTAATTATTATCATTATGCTCTCTCTCTCCTGTCTCACTTAGACCCCCTGGGAGATCATACATTCTTTCTCTTTAACGTCCTTATGCCTGACTTAAAGAGGAAGGAACATGCAATCTGTCACTAGTGTTAATGGCAGCATGCAAAGTCAGATCATCCATATGTTAAGAAAAATTACCCAAGTTTTTATCATGAATGGATATTGTACTTTGTCAAATGCTTTTTTTTTTTTTTTTTTAATGCTTTGTCTCCCGATTTCCCCCTCTTCATTCCTCCCCTCCTGCTATCTTCTTCTTCTTTTTTTTTTTTTTTTTACATCTATTGAGATGATTGTATGGTTTTTTATCCTTTCTCTTGTTGATGTGATGTATCATGCTGATTGAACCACCCTTGCATCCCCAGGATAAATCTCACTTGATCGTGGTAGATGACTTCCTTTTTTAATGTATTGTTGGATTTGGTTTGCTAGTATTTGGTGGAGAATTGCCGCACCTATGTGGAACAGGAAAATGGCAAAAAGATGGAGTGTGACCTCTCACTGTCGTGCAAGAACATTTCCTAAATAGTTATCTCCTTCCCTGCTACTACTTATTAGTCTAATACTTAGAACTGTTACTTATAATCCACAAGACAGTAGGGCCCAGATGGCCTCCCAGCTCTGCGAAGACAAACGCTAACTTTTAGAAGTTTTTCCAGTCTGGGGCGCCTGGCTGGCTTTAGTCAGGTAAGCATGCAAATCTTGATCTCTGGGTTGTGAGTTTGAGCCCGACGCTGGGTGTAGAGGTTGCTTAAAAATAAAATCTTTAAAAAAGAAGAAGAAAAAAAGAAGTTCTTCCAGTCTGGTAGACAGATCGCCTCCAAGGTTGTGATTTCGTTGCCCTGTTTGGCAGCCGGCTTTACCTCTAACTTAGCAAAGTGACTTCAGCATTCCTGTGTCTCCTGGTATACCAGTCTCAGCTTCTCAAACCAATCAGCCATTGATGTTCGTGGTCTCCCCATTCGTGAGCTAAGGAAAACTGTGATAAATGCTCCTTACCTATTTTTTTGAGAATTCTGTTGTTAACCGTTTGTGATCTGTGCTTTAACACACCTTAGTACTACTGTTTTTTTTGTACCCACTTGGCTTTCATCCTCCTTCACATCTGTCATCATGTTGTCATTGATTAGTCATTGGTGTCATTTCTTCTCACTCCAGAAGCTAAGCGCCATGAGGGCATGTCTGTCTTATACCTGACGGATCTCTAGTGACTAGAATGGACTAGAGAGAGACTCAAAATCTATTTGAATAAAAGTCTGTGGTAAATACAGGGGCGCCTGGGTGGCTCAGTCAGTTGAATGTCTGACTCTTGGTCTCATCTCAGGGTGGTAAGATGGAGCCCTATGTCGGGCTCTGCACTCAGCGGGGAGTCTGCTTGAGTTCTCTCTCTCCCTCTGCGCTCCCCCCGCCCTCCCGGATCGCATTCTCTCTCTCTCAGATAAATAAATCTTAAAACAACAACAACAACAAAGTCTATGATGAACAGGGAGGAGAGACATGGAGGTTGTACGGTGAGCAATGGAAAGGATGTGTGGGCCAGGTGACACATTCTCTTTCTTGCTAAACTGGTCTGATTTTTATTTTCTTTCACTTGTAACTGGAAAAGCCCCCAGTGAGACCATTCAGAAAGGAGACAATTTCTCTTAAAGAGAAGGGCAGCCAGTAATCCCCACTTTGCTCAAAGCTATGGTGCCAGGTTGGACTTTGTATTCTGACTCCTTTTACTCAGATGACGGTGAAACCAACAATTGCTAAGGCGGCTCACCTAGTCTCTTCGCTGGGAATACTGAGCAAGGATTTTTTGCCATGGGAAGGGAACGAAGCAAAAACTGCGGAACAAAGGAGACACTGCAGCTGACCACTGCCATAACCTCCCAGCACCTCCTTGGCCAGGCTTGGTAAGCAGTCCCAACGAAGGAGCATCTTCTTACAGAGCCAGAATCTGACAGTGGATTGTGTATATCTTTAGGGTATATTGTGAGAGCCACTTTAGTGCCCATGGGGCCAGTCAAGACATGTAACTGTGTAAAGTTAGATGGATATAAAGCAATAGGGGATGGTGGAGACTATGGCAAACAGAAAATTCATGTCCTGGGCGCCTGGGTGGCTCAGTTGGTTGGACGACTGCCTTCGGCTCAGGTCATGATCCTGGAGTCCCGGGATCGAGTCCCACATCGGGCCCCCTGCTCAGCAGGGAGTCTGCTTCTTCCTCCGACCCTCTTCCCTCTCGTGCTCTCTATCTCTCATTCTCTCTCTCTCAAATAAATAAATAAAATCTTTAAAAAAAAAAAAAAAGAAAGAAAGAAAATTCGTGTCCTGTCTGAAGGAGGCATTAACTAACTACTTACCTGTTCTCAATTCTTGCCTTCTAGGCCCAGTACATCCAGATATTTCTGGCTTTGCAAACCAGAAGTCCAGATTTTTTTTTTTTTTAAGTAGGTTCCATGCTGGGCATGGAGGGTTTAAACTTACAACACTGAGATCAGGCCTTCTAGGCCCAGTGCATCCAGATATTTCTGGCTTTGCAAACCAGAAGTCCAGATTTTTGTTTTTTTAAGTAGGCTCCACGCTGGGCATGCAGGGCTTAAACTTACAACACTGAGATCAAGACATGAGCTGAGATCAAAAGTAGGACATTTGGGATGCCTGGGTGGCTCAGTTGTTAAGCATCTGCCTTCAGCTCAGGTCATGATCCCAGCGTCCTGGGATCAAGCCCCGCATCAGGCTCCCTGCTCAGTGGGGAGTCTGCTTCTCCCTCTCCCTCTGCCCCTCCCCCCTGCTCATGCTCTCTCTCGCTCTCAAAAAATAAATAAAATCTTTAAAAAAAGGTTGGATGCTTAACCAACTGAGCCACCCAGGCACCCACCCCCAGAAGTCCAGATTTTTATGGAAAATGTCCCGATTTTGAAAATACTAGCAACTGATTTTTTTTTTTTAAGTACAAGGACCAAATAAAACATTTCCATGAGGCAGATCTGATCTACCAGCCATCACTCTGTGACTCTGCTTTAGTATTTCACTTTTAGGACAAAAAGGAAAACATCCTTCTTCCCATATTCAATGGACCAAGCTATATGGTAGCTTTCAAAGCAAAATCCTGCTTACCAGCCATCAACACCAGCTTTCTGCAGTTCGGAAATCCCAAACGACAAAGATCCCATGAAGTCATTCCTGCTGGTCAGATCCCAATCCCAAATCTCTACAGACAGTCTTCTGTCTTTGTCCGATTCTTTCAGTTGGCTACCAAGAGCAAAAAGAGAGAAGTCAGCGGACGTTACAGTGATTTCTCAAGCAGATGAAATGTTTAAGAGGACAAGGCCCGAAGGTAGGAATTTTTAAAGATTACAAGCTGTTGCAAGCAACATATTCCGTTTCGCTCCCAGGCAAGCTCCCCAGGGAGGGAGAGCTTCTCAAGTTCCACAGCCTGTGGCTCAGCTGGGTAGAGGACCTGGGCCAGCTCCATCAGAAGCAGTTCTAGCTGCTTCTGCTGCCTTAAGTCTTAATAGAGTTCGTGATGTTCGGGAAACCCTATTGACACAGTCGCTATAAGAAATATGGGTATCAATTATATAACTGCATGAGTGTTTGCACACACAGGAGTTAGCATGAGGCTGAGGACATCTGTGGAGGAAGCAGTCTTGTCAGTGCTGGTCGGGGGAAACTGTCTGTTCTGAGGCATGTCCTTGATTGAGGCTGAGGTGCACCCCCACTTTTGTGCTGAGAGAGGAAACAGAGGGGATGGGGCTCCCACAAGGAATCATGCTTTTGGCCCGTAGCCTCCAGAGTCAGAGTGTTGGAAGCTGAATCCTCCTCGACCCCATATTTGTTGGGGGACTCTGGCCACATTCTTTAACCTCTACAAGCCCCATTGGTTAAGTGGGGATGAAATGGCCAATGAACTGAGGTCATTCAATAGAGTGCTTTTTATAACCGGAATATGCTCCTTAAATATTGGCTGATGTCACTAACCCCTGTGGGCCCAGATGCATCAAAAAGTGACCCCAGGTTCTTGAGCACTGGCCCAGGAAGATCCTCCATGGAAGGTGGCAGAGAACTCTCAACAGGCTGCAGACCCAGCATATCCATATCCACAGACTCAGCCCATAGGGTTATCACCACACCCTATGGGTTATGTCCCACTGCTCACTGAGACCAGAGCTTCTCCCACAACTTGCCTTCACCTAGCAACACATCACACTACTTTCTATCCCACCCACTCCCCACACCACAGACATTCTCAACTCTATTAAAAAAAATAAGTTCCAATTTTTGCTTGGCTTGCAATGCAAAAATGCAGATGGAAGGGGAGGAAGGGGAGGGAGGAGGGAGAAAGGGAGGGAGGGAAGGAGAAGGAAGGAGGGAGGGAGGCAGGAAATGAAATGGAAGCCGGGAGGGGCACTCTCTGATCTCAGGTGGCCCAGAAGCCAACCCCCACCGCCCACGCTGGGCAGCGATAATTTTAACTTACAATCTGAATGTCTCGTTCCACTCAGGGTTGAGGGAGCACTTGATGGTTTTGGTCTTCTGCTTGCTCTCACTCTTGGGGTCGGGAATCAGTTTCAGTTTCACGTAAGGGTCTGACAAACCATTGGGGTCCATAGGTACAAGGTTTTTAGCATCTCTTACTAAAAAGAGAAAACGCAATTTCAGCATTAATAGCCCCGCAATGTTTAAGCATCGACCAGTGAGGGCTGGACAACGTGTGGACAAGTCCTTGGCATCCCACTCATTTAACAGGAATTGTAACTAGGAACATCAATAGCTAAGAGGCATGCAAAGTGAGACAGACTGGTAAGATGTAGCCTCTGCTCTATATGAGTTCGAAACGGATTTCCGACTTTCATACTGCTCTACCCACTGTGCCCCCAAGATTAGCTGTACGCTCTCTTAAGTTTGTGTTCCACAAAGCCAACAAGAAAGATTGGCTTCTTTCACCGCACATAATGTTTTCAGGGTTCATCCACGCAGTAGCTCATGTCAGTACTACAGTTATGGCTGAATATTATCCCCTCGTATGGATATATCAAACTTTTTTTTTATAAATGTTTCTATTTATTTATTCGTGAGAGTCAGAGAGAGAGAGAGGCAGAGGAAGAGGGAGAAGCAGGCTCCCCACCTAGCAGGGAGCCTGATGCGGGACTCGATCCCAGGACCCTGGGATCATGACCTGAGCCGAAGGTAGACGCTTAACCATCTGAGCCACCCAGGCGCCCCTCAAACTTTGTTTATTCATTCATCTGTTGGACATGGTTGTTCCCACTTTTTGGCTCTAGTGAATAGTGCTGTTATGAACATCTGTGCACTCTGACGCAGAAGGTCACATGTTGTAGGATTCCATTTATATGAAACACCCAGAACAGGTAAATCCACAGAGACAGAAAAAGCAGACCAGTGGTGGCAAGGAGCTGGTGGGGAGGGGGGAATGGGGAGCGACCACGTAATGGGAAAGGGGTTTCCTTTATTGGTGATAACATTTCTTGGAACTAGATACAGGTGATGGTTGCATAACCCCGTGAATATACTAAATGCCAGTGAATGGTACACTTTAAGATGGCTAATGCTTAATTTTATGTTATGTGAATTTTACCTCAATTCAAAAAGCAAAAGCTAAAAGAGAAAGAGTTGCTCTCCAAACCAGGGTGCACCTGTCATCCACGGGGCACCCGTAACCATGACCCAGACAGCCCAGAGAGAAGGCTGGAAAAATATTGCAGCATTACAGGTAGGCTCCACCCTCAATGAAGAACACTGAGTAAAGGAGGCTGTGAGACTGGCTTAAAGAAGAAAGGAAGCAGAGGGTCAGTAGTGTAGACACAACTGGGTATAGGAAGGATGAGATGGAATAGAACATCAGCCTAGAGAAACAGGAAGAAGTTAGCCAGGAGTCAACTTGAAAGCCAGTTACATAGGCAGCCATAGGAAGGAGATGGGAAAATGGGAGTTATACGGGTCATATGGATACGGTGCCAACCATCTCAATTATGATAGAAAAATCCAAAGTATTACATTAGCAGATTGAATCAAGCGATCTGCCAGAAGGCTAATATAGAATGACTCTTACCAGGAATGCAAAGATGGTTCAATCATAGAAAATCTATTATTTAAAATATTCATTATATGTATAGGTCAAAGGAGAAAACCATTGAATCATTGCAATTGGCTACAATAGCAGGAAATTGCCTTCACAGGATAAAGGCTATCTGAAGTTAATAGCTCCATAGTTAATGATAAATGCAATCCCATCAAAGGCAGGAAGACGATAGACATCCATGACCCCAGCTATAATTCGACATTTTTTTCTTTTTTTTTTTTTAAGATTTTATTTATTTATTTGACAGGGAGAGACACAGTGAGAGAGGGAACACCAGCATGGGGAATGGGAGAGGGAGAAGCAGACTCCCCGCTGAGTAGGGAGCCCAATGTGGGGCTCGATCCCAGGACCCTGGGATCATGACCTGAACTGAAGGCAGATGTTTAACAACTGAACCACCCAGGCGCCCCTCGACATTTTTCCTAAGTGTTCCATAAGTACAATAATACAATAGAAACAGAATACTGGAAAGTAGAGGATAAAGCACCCCCTCATCTCCTATAACCTTTGCTTCTGCCCTATCACAGTCACCTCCTCCCTGGAGTTTATCATCCCAGAAATTACACCACTTTCTCAATCTCCACGTACCCCACGAGCCTATGCCCCTCCCTATTTTCCCAGTTCATTAACCCTAGTACTCCACTGTGACCAGTCTTACACCACCAATCAGTCTGTTGAGACAATCTTTATTGAATCTTCTCCCCATTCCCTCTTGCCTTTATTTAATTCACCCCCAGGGCACCTGGGTGGCTCAGTCGGTTAAGCGGCTGCCTTCGGCTCAGGTCATGATCCCAGGGTCCTGGGATCGAGTCCCTCATCAGGCTCCCTGCTCGGCGGGGAGCCTGCTTCTCCCTCTCCCTCTGCCTGCCTCTCTGCCTACTTGTGCTCTCTCTATCTCTCTGTCAAATAAATAAATAAAATCTTTAAAAAAAAAATTCACCCCCAGCCTAGAGTTCATAGTGCATTATAATCACTCCCTTGGAAACCCCCTCAACTCTCTTGCTCCTCTTTCTTTCCATTTTATTTATCTGGGGGAAAAAAAATACAACCCAGCCCTAGTTAAATTCATAGATCTTCTCTTTATTTTCCTACACCCAAGCAGCTAGCCATTGCTGTTGGGGGCAGGGGTAGTGACACCTGACTTGTCTAAGATCATATCACTAGGGAGGGGTTGGGACTGAATACATGAGATGGAAAAAGGGCTGGTGGACTCCTAGGGGAGTGACAAGAGGCCCAAGGATGCAAGTTGTAACTTATTCTGCACTGACATGTTTCTGCACTGTAGCATATGGCCTTTCCTCCCATTTATCCACAGGCTGAAATCTCGCTCCATGTCATTCTCATGCAGGTTGTACCTCATTCTTGCACCAAAAGCAAGAACTTTTCCTCTTTGATTTTGACTCAGTTAAGTTCAATAAGTAGGTCCCTATGAGGCATTAGGCATTCTGTTAGGCACTGGGGACGTGGGGATAAGATAAGGTGTTGATCCTGTCCCCCAGGAATACAGAAAACCAAATTTATTCAAAGTATAGTTGATCGCTAATGAGTCCACAGGCAGGTCACATAGTATAGTGGATACAAGGCTATGAGAGGTCAGGTTTTGCATCTTCCTTTGCAGTTACTTCACACTTTGGGACCTCGATTTCTTGACCAATGAGATGGAGATGATACATACTTCATTGGGTTGTTGTAAGAGTATAATCGGATGCAGAATATACACGTTTAGCACAGAACCTGGCTCCCAGGGAATAGTCAATAAATGCCAGCTATGAGTGAAATAAGTCAGTCAGAGAAAGACATGTATCATATGACCTCACTGATATGAGGAATTCTTAATCTCAGGAAACAAACTGAGGGTTGCTGGAGTGGTGGGGGTGGGAGGGATTGGGTGGCTGGGTGATAGACATTGGGGAGGGTATGTGCTATGGTGAGCACTGTGAATTGTACAAGACTGATGAATCACGGATCTGTACTTCTGAAACAAATAATGCAATATATGTTAAGAAAAAAAAGAAGAAGAAGAAGATAGCAGGAGGGGAAGAATGAAGGGGAGTAAGTCGGAGGGGGAGACGAACCATTAGAGACGATGGACTCTGAAAAACAAACTGAGGGTTCCGGGGGGGGGGGGGGGGGGATGGGTTGGCCTGGTGATGGGTATTAAAGAGGGCACATTCTGCGTGGAGCACTGGGTGTTATGCACAAACAATGAATCATGGAACACAACATCCAAAACTAATGATGTAATGTATGGTGATTAACATAACAATAAAAATTATTTTAAAAAAATAAATGCCAGCTATATTTTTGCTATTTTATTATTATTATTACACATATTCAGGGTCCCCTCTCATTACATTTGTCCACTTTTATTAAGAAGCGTTAACCATTTCCAAGTGGACATCTGGGTCTTCTTCTTTGAGAATAAGGCATCTGACCTTCCCACTTGAACCTTTCCAGAGGGCTCCTCAAACCTTAGTGTGTATAAGAGTCACCCACACGGCTTGTGAGGCACATATTCCTGGGACCCACTCCTACAGATGGATTCTGATTCAGTGACTCTGGAGGGACAGCTGCTCACTTGTTTTTCTAACACGTTCCCAGGTGATATTGCTACTGCTGGTGGTCCACACAGCACACATTAAGTAAAGCGTTTCTGGATGATACAATTTCTTAAGATCCACATGCATCTTCCCCATAGAATATAATCTCCAACTGTTGCTTTCTCTCATTTCTTGAGCCTTCCAGGGAAAATAGCATGTGCCAGTTCCTAGGCTGGGATCTTGTAATGACACATCTATCACGGAGTAAAGCTGCATAAAAACATGATCTGAGGCATGCTGACGTGCCAGAAACTTGTCTGTCTGGTTGATTGGCAACACATATGCAAGTGGGAACGGCTCACATCTCTTCTGTCAAGGCCCACACCACGTTCCCACCTCACTCCCCGTGTTATGAACTGACACCACGGGACCATCACCAGAACTTTCTTCTACTGTAAGTTTACGAGTTCACAGCTCCGGAAGGAGCTCTTGACAAGACAAGTGTGTGCTGGAGTCTTGAGCCAATCTTTAAAATTAATGCTTTAAGAATGACCCCTCCTTGGGCCTCTGCTTCTCCCAAACCCAATATTCGTGGCTGAGATATGACTCCATCTTCCCGCTAGCCCTTATAGATCCTTCCTTCCCCTTTTGTCCTTTTGGATCTATCCTCCACTGAAGAGGTCAAAAATTGCCGTGGAAAGGAATGGAGTGGAGTCGATTCTGGGCCTGCTGGCATTCACATCTCAAGAGCTCTAGCTCCCGAAACCACCACATCATGAGCAGGTGACAGTAGCTGCAGGCTAAGATCCAGAGGCCTGTCCCTCCTGAAGCTTTTCAAAGTAGAGTCATGTTTCCCAGCCACAATGTACTGAGGAAGCAAATCTCTCTAGACCACACTTGGCGAGACTGACTTTGATTTTTCTTGATAAATGTTTCTTTACTATCTTTGTTGAAATCCAGCCAGCCCAGATGGTACAAAATGCTTCACACAAAG